CTTCTACTGTTCGGCCAATCAGGTGTTTGAACATTTTGGTTACCAACCTTTGGTAAGTTGCTCAACCCAAAAGGCATTACTCTGTAACAGTACAGGCCTTTTGGGGTGATGAACGCGGTCTTCTCTTCGTCTGGGGGGTACATGGCTATCTGGTGGTACCCCCTGTAGGCGTCTAGGAAGCTCATTCTTCCATGCCTTGAAGTGGCATTTACTAGCTGGTTAATCTTGGGTAGAGGAAAGCTGTCTTTGGGACAGGCTTTGTTGAGGCTGGTAAAGTCTACGCAAACCCTCCATTTACCGTTCTTCTTCTTTACCACCACTGTATTGGATAGCCATGTCGGGTAGTGAACTTTTCTAATGGCCCTGGCCTCCAGAAGTTTGTCTACTTCTTCCTCTACTGCTTCGACGTGTGCCAACGTCGGTCTTCTCGCTCGTTGAATTACAGGTTTAGCTGACCTGTCAACGTTCAACTTATGGCAAGTGACCTTGGGGTCAATGCCTGGCATTTCGTAAGGCGTCCACGTGAACACCTCAATATTTGCTCTCAAAAAAGCTTTTAATTCTTTTTCCTCTTCTTCGGTTAAGCTCGAGCCGAGAAGAAAGAAGCGTTCTTCATCCCCATCCTAGACGAAGATTTTCTTCAGTGCCTCTTCGCTCTTCCCAACTAGTTCCTTGCCGACGTCTTCTAGGACTTCCACGTCCTCATCTTCAATTTCTGCTTTTTCTGGCTCTCGTATGCTGCAAGTAGATTTCATTGCTGCCATGGAGCAATTCTTCGCCTGCAGCTGATCGCCTCTGACTTCCTCAATCCCATGCTCTGTTGGGAACCGCAATAGTTGATGCAGTGTTGAGGGAACAGCCCCCATTGCATGCAATCATGGCCTTCCCAAGATGATGTTGTAAAGGGAGGGTGTATCGATGATGGTGAATTATGTCTTGATCTTTCTGGTGCCAGCCTGCACCTCCGAGCTTACTGCTCCCAGTGGCCATGTCGGCGTTCCATTGAACCCAACCATTGGGTCATTGGGTTGTTCCATATCATCTGGGTGAAGGTTGAGCTCCTTGTAACATCGGACGTACATGATGTCACAAGAGCTACCTTGGTCAATCAGGATGCGTTTCACTTGGCACTCCCCAACCTGGAGGGATACTACCAAGGCATCATTATGCGAATGTTGGACCATCTCTAGGTCGGCATCAGTAAAGGTTATCATTGGTCCCTAGCACTTTTCTGCCCGATGTCTTTTCTCCCTGACTTGGTAGACATGTTGTAGGTGTTTTACCTTCTGGGTCTCTCCTCGGATTTCATTTTCGTTGACCTTCGAGTGGATTACGTTGATTACCCGAGGTCCTCCTGCCTGCGGCTGTTGTGCTGGGAGAGATGGGCTGCTGGTGCCTGAGGCAATCTTGCCCGTTCTTCTCTTGTCCTGGTCTCATCGACAAGGTCTCTCAGATGTCCTTGTCTCACCAGGTCTTCCAAGTGTGTTTTCAGGGCTCTACAACCCTAAGTTGTATGCCCATCTTCATTGTGGTAGGCACAATGCCTGCCAATGTTTCTTCCCATAAACTCTCCTAGAGTCCTTTCCGGCGTTCTGAAATAGGGCTGGTTCCGAATTTGATCCAGGACTTTGTGGATTGGGATTCGGAACACATTGTTACTGTTTGTGTGGCCTTCAGTTCTGCCTCTTGTTTGCTTGATCCATTGTTACCTCGGCCTCGCTTCGGCGAGCCATTTCCTTTCTCTTACTTTATCTCCTTAGTCCCTGACGTATCTTCTTCTGCTCTGGCATACTTCTCAATTCTCGCCATGAGCTCTTCCATACTTTTTGGCAATGTCTTTGCCAAAGACTTTCGTAGTGGACAGTTGTCTTTCAGGCCGTTCTTGAAAGATACGACTGCTACCTCTTGATTACATTCAGGTATTCGGTTGAACACCTCATAGTATCTTTTGGCGTAGGCCCTAAGGCCTTCATCTTTGCTGATCTTCAGAGCCATCAATGCGTCCACTCTTAATGTCTGAAGTTTGTTTGTCATGAACTTAGCCACAAACATCTCGGCCAGGCCTTCTCAGGTCTTCACACTTTCCTTTGGTAGTTTGTGAAACCAATCTGATGCAATCTCCCCGAAGGACGAGGGGAACACTTTGCAGAGCAACGACTCGTTCCCACTATATAATGCCATTGAGTTCAAGTATAATCCAACGTGAAAGTTGGGATCTGCCTTACCATCGTATATTTGAAACCTCGGCATACTGAATCTCTTTGGTGCCTCGAATTTGTCTAATTCTACCTAGAATGGAGTTCTCGGCTTAACAGGTGAAGTTACCTCGGCATCGGCGTTCTGTTGCTTCCTCTTGAGGTAATCTCTAGTCTTCTTTGCTCCGCCCAGGAACTCGACTATCTTTTGACTTCAGTCTTTTCGGTATACTACTCTCGGCCTCGTGGTGAGCCCTTTTCGATCCTTCTCCATGAGTTGTGTCGAAGCACAGCGCCTACCCCTGAACATGCCGATGTCCTTTGGGGTCTGCCTCCTTTGTGTGATGCGTCCTCCGTGATTCTTCTCTTCTTGACTCTCTTTGTCCGACTTTCCTAGAGGGTCGGTGGGAGTGTCTTTCACTCCAGTTGTACTGAGGGGCTACGGGAATCGTTTTCTGTCCTCCCTTCTGGGTATTGGCCGCTAGAATTGACGTGTCCTGCAGCGGGAACGATGGCTACCTGACGTTATTCTGCATCATGAAATTGACGACCGACTGCAGGTTTGCTAATTTGTTTGCCATCTCGTTTACCTCTTCGTCCCTCCGCAAGTGCCTATCCTTCCATACCTGGAGGTTGTCCTCGTTGTAGTACCCACTTCGATCTGGTTTCTTTGGTGCGTCGCCAGTCTGGCCGACGTCTTTCACTCCGTGATTCTGGTCACGAGTTTCTGCGTTGCATTCGTCTCCTGTGATATCAAGGTCAATTGGTCTCCCACTCCCAGCAGGAGTGTCGTCCCCAATCTTTTCTTTCTGTGCGTTACTGGCCATCTATTCTCCTTTCTTTCCCACAGACGACGCCAAATTGTGTGAGTAATTTTCCGATCACACTGCCCAACTTAGTACTCAGCTGGAGAACACTGGTAGAATAGATGACACCTGGCTGACCTACAACAGAAAGAGAAGATTCTGGCGGTGGTTCGTCCACCCAGGGGTACTCTGACGATCAAGTCAGTATATCTCTCAAAGATAATCAATAATGCAAACTCACTATTCAGAATATAAATTGTGTGCCTTAGACCCACAGGGGTGCCTCTCTTTTATAGCTAACTCAATCCTTGTCCCAACAAGAGCCTAGCTCTAATGGACTTAGGATTACTATCAATCTTGGATTCCTAGTAGGATTAGGATAAACTCCCTAAGAGTCTTATCATTTCCCAACTGTAGTCTTCCCCTTTTCTAGGACTCTCGTGCCTTATCTGCTTATCTCAGATTTCGATATCTTCGGAGGTAACCTCGGCCTTGCCGAGATAACCTCGGTGTCATGACCAGGACACGTAGCACCTCGGCTGACACGTCGGCGTCACCTTAGCCACGTGTAGGTACTCAGAAAATATATCCCCATACTTAGTATTGAATCTAGTGGGCCTATTTCTTCAACAAATGTCAATGAGTTTGACTATCCTTCTTTAAATTGCCATCAAACTATTGTTCTTGCATAAGATTTATTTTGTTCAATTATGTTAGGTTTGGTTGGAGGATTTGAGAAGGGAATGGAAAAGATAGGTGAAATGTAAATAAAATATACTTATATTTTAGTTAGTTTCATACACTTTTTTCCCTTTTTCTTTCCAAATTCTTCTTCGAATCCCCCAACCCAATACAACATTAATGTAAGAACAACGATGCAAGAATCCGAGGATAGCACCTCACCGGATTCAAATTCGAGTGCCTCAAAATTCCATTTCAATCATACATTTATTATTGTAAATTTTATCCTCATGATGTGGATTTTCAGAATTACAAGTTTGTTGTGGATGGCTCGTGGAGGAAGGAGAATGGCATGGGTGTGTTTTAATGGCAACCATTAACAAGTGGCACAAAAGGGTATGAAGCTCAAACTACCGTCCGCTTTTGTGGCAGAAGTAGCTTATATGCAAGCAATACATACAATGGGCCAAAGAGCAGGGATCGATGAGTATTTCAATTTGCACTGATTCCCAAATTTTGATTAATGCTCTTTATTAAGATTGTATAAAATATCGTCCAATCGCACCGTTCTATCCACTTTAGCAGTTTAAACTTTCAACTTTATAAATCATTTTTGAAATCGTTCCGCTCCGCTATAATTAATATATATATGTATTTTTAACTTACAATGAAATATCAAAGTAAAAATAAGTGTGAAAAAAAATTAATATGTAAAATTTATTACAAATTAGTAGTTATATATATATAAAAAATATTATGTAAAATTAGTTTGTGTTATATATATAAAAAAAATATTATACAAATTAATATTGTATATTATGAAAAGGCTTGATAATTGATTAAAATATTCTTCAATCTGCTCAAAACTGCTCGAACCACACCGCGCACACTACTCTTTGTACTAGATTTGCTCCATTTCAGTCTTCTGCAACTCTTGTAGTTTTTTAATTTTCCAAGTATAACAAAGGTAAATAAGAAGACTGTTAAGTTAGTGCATGATCTGACTCATTGTGTAAATGATTTTTCTATGTAATATATATATTTTTATGTTGTCCTTAAAAAAAAAAAAATAGAAAAAGATAATGGCTTTTCCATATTTTAGTTTAATAGTGATGAAGAGTTGAGAAGAGTGCTTGATGAAGGTCCTTATTATGGAAATCGTTTAATCATCCTCAAAAAGTTATTCCCCTGGAATTAAATTATCCTAAGAGGAGTGTGTCCCAATTTGGGTGAAATTGTTAATGTGCCTCTTGAATTGGATTATGTTGCTAGTCTGATTTTTTTTTTTTTTTTTTTGAACAAGAAAATACCAACCGACTTACAAAGAGTCCAGAAATAAAATAGCCCTAAGCGCCAGAGGAGGATGGGCAACCCAGTGGAGGGGAAGCATGCCTGTCAAGTTGCGAGAAGCTACCCAGTAGGCCACACGACTGGAGCTTCTTGGCGACCAGCTAAAAGAAATGTTGCTCCGAGACTTCGCAGAACGAATATCATGTATAACAGCCATGCAGTCCCATGGAGGAACTAGTTCAGAGACACTCAGCTCAATGACGGTTTTGTTATCTCCTTCCACACTGACTTGTCTGAGGTTGAGGGTTTGAGAAAAGGCACAAGCCATTCGGACTGCTCGGGCTTCTCCTTGCAAGGTTGACGAAACATGAACAATAGAAGTGCGACCATCGACCAGCTGTCCTTCCCGATTACGAAGAATGACAGCCAAGGAAGCTTTTGACCCATCTTTAGTGAAGCTCGCATCACAATTAAGCTTAAATTGGCCCAGGCCTGGTGGACTCCATCTGCGGCTAGGGGGCTCGGACATTGCTGCATTCGGCTGTTGAGCACCAAGGTGATTTAGCACATATAACTCTCTCTAGGCAGCTGTGGCTTGATGCATAGTGACCGTGGGATTTAGAGGAGTGTGGTTAAAGACCCAGTTGTTGTGGGATTTCCAAATACACTAACCCAACATCGTCACTTTCCCAATGATTTCTAGTTGTTCTGATTTGTTGGAGCACATATTCATAAGAGAGTAAGTCCACTCAGCAACAGAATTGCAAACATGCATATCAACTCGAATGTCAAGGTCGCTACCGAACCAGATAGTCCTAGTCCAAGGGCAATGGAACAGAAGGTGTTCAATGGATTCAACCGGGCAAACACACGCTGGGCATTGACTAGATGGAGCACATTTCCTACGAAACAGGTTTTCCTTTGTAGCTAACTTATTCTTACACACACACCACCAAAAATGACGAACTTTCGGAGGGATGTTAAGAGACCAAATCAAACTCCACATGCTCGCCGGGGGGGAAAAAAGGGAAAGACTGCTAGCTTGGAGTCAAACTGGAGAGAGTCTTTAATTGCAATATGATAACCACTGCGAACCTCATAGTGACCTTTCGGAGTGTAAGGCCAGATGACCGCATCAGCTTGGTCTTCACATGAGATGGGTATGGACCGAATATGATCAAGAACCTCTGCACTAACTGCATTTCCCAATTTATTGATATTCCATTCAGTGCTATTAAGAACAATAACATCAGAGACGTGTGAGATACTGCAATCCAGAGGTCGGGAGTTCAGAATTTGAAACCCTGGCAAACTGGGTATCCACTTGTCCTCCTAGAACTTGATGGATTTACTGTTGCCCACTTGCCAGCGAACACCATGTTCAAGCAACTGCCTGCCTTGAAGTAGGCTAGCCCAGGCCCAAGAGGCCTTCTTTCCTTTATGTGCCTTCATAAAGTCCGTGTGAGGGAAGTAAATCCCTTTCAGAATTCTCGCGCAGTAGGAATGAGGAAATTTCAAGATCCGCCAAGCTTGCCGCGCCAGAAGAGCAAAGTTAAATGCCTTGAAGTCTCGAAACCCCAATCCGCCCTACGACTTAGCAACTGAAAGACTTTTCCAATCAACCCAATGAATGCTACGACCATCCGGATCTCCTCCCCACCAAAAATTACTCATAAAACCATTAAGTTGATCGCAGAATTTTTTGGGAAAGGTGAAACAAGCCATAGCATAGGTTAGGATGGCTTGTACCACCGATTTAAGGAGGATTTCACGGCCCGCTTGAGATAATAGATGCTGCTTCCAACCTTGCATTTTTTGAACAGCCCTTTCAATCAAATACCCAAATACTTCCGTCTTTGATCGGCCCCAAAAGGAAGGGAGACCAAGATATTTGGAATTGTGCAACATGGGAGCAAAGCCCATAAACGAGCAGATCTCTTGTTGAACTGGCACAGGAGTGTTGGTTGAAAAACGAATGCTAGACTTCTCCCAATTTATCATTTGGCCCAAGGCAAGGCAATACTCCTCCAGACAAGTCTTCAAATGTTGACATTGGGCCACAGAAACAGTAGAAAAAAAGAAGGACATCATCTGCAAAAATTAAATGGGACAAGATGTGGCAATCTCCACTCAACTTTATGCCATGAAACCGATTATCAAAAGTGCTCCTGGAAATCATTCTTGAGAGAACATCAGCAACTAAAGTAAACAGGTAAGGTGAAATTGGATCGCCCTGACGGAGACCTCTTTGAGGAATGAAGGCAGCTCGCTTCTCCCCATTAGCAAAAATTGAGAAGGACACCGTACTCACCACTGCCGTGATCCACTTAACCCAAACTGAACTAAACCCCATTTTGAGAAGAAAAGCCTCTAAGAAATCCCATTGTATGCGGTCATATGCCTTATTAAAATCTTACTTGATTGCCATCTCATAACCAGTGCCAGTCTTCTTCAATTTTTGATGGTGAAAAGCTTTATAAGCTACCAAGATGTTATCTTGGATCAAATGCCCTGGCACAAATGCTGACTGTTGTGGGGAGATCACACGTTTCAAGATTGGTTTCAATCTATTGGCCAAAATTTGGAGATGATTTTGAGGGTGAAATTACACAAGCTGATGGGCCGGAATTGAGTAAGTTTTTCTGGGTTAGGCACTTTGGGGATGAGGACCAAGTTGGTATAATTGAGTTCTCTCAAGAGATGCCCATAGTAAAAAAGCTTTGAATCGCCGAGTAGACATCATCACCCACCACCTCCCAACAAGTTTGGAAAAAGATGCCAGAGAAACCATCAGGTCCTGGTGCTTTCAGAGGTCCCAATTGAAATGTTGTAGATCAGATTTCGGCGTTGGACATCGGGTTGATTAAAGAGGCATTCATCTCTTCAGAAATAACCCTCTGGACAGTTGACAAAAGGGAGTCAAAGTTTCGGGAAAGAATGCTTGTGAACAAATGAGAGAAGTAATCATGGAGGTGTGAGTTAATCGCCTCATCAGTGGATAACCACTGTCCATCCTCATTTGCAATTTAACCAATTAGTTCCGTTGACGGCGCTGGATTAAAGTGGCATGAAAAAATGCAGAATTCCGGTCTCCCGACTTTAGCCAATTCACCCGAGAAAGTTTATGAAGGAACATCTCCTCACGGAGAAGCACTCTCAAAATGTCATCTTGAGTCTTTTTTTGGGCAACTACGTTGAATTCCGACCAGTCAAGAGCTTGAAGATAAGACAACTTGGAATTAAGCTCTGGTAACTTGGTTCGATTGTCTCCAAATTCACTCTGACTCCAAGACTTCAGCACCAGTTTGTAGCCTTTCAATTTTTGACACAATTTAAACATGGGAGAGCCCTTATTAACCCCCTCCCATTTTGCTCTAACAACTTCAAGACAGTCCGGAGAAGTTGTCCACATTGATTCAAACTTGAACAGACGAGGCACTTTTTTAGGGGGGAGACAAGTGTTAAGGATAAGTGGACAATGATCTGAACTAATAAGTAGCTCATGAAGAAGTTGCGCATGGGGGAAAAGTTCCCGCCAATCCACAGTTGCCACTGCTCGGTCAATTCTTTCCCTGACATTATGCCTCCCCGACTGGTTGTTTGTCCACGTAAAATCATGACCCTTGAACTCCAAATCCATTAGAGCACACTCCTGGAGCAATTGTTGAAAGCCCAAAATTCTCCTAGCTATAGGTCCAGCGCCCCCAGTTTTTTCCCAAAAGGCCCCTATTTCATTAAAATCACCCATGCAAAGCCAGGAAATTTGGTTTTCAGAGGCTATGGTTCGGATAGAATCCCAAAACATGTTGCGAATTTGCTCCCTGGGCGATGCATGAATGAAAGTGGCAAGCCAAGATATACCCTGATGAGATAAGACGCAGCGGAGCAAGTTCTAATTACAAGAACGAACATCAATGACTATTTCATCCATCCACCACAAAGCCAACCCCCCCGCAAGACCAACTGGGTCAACATAGGTACTGTTGTTGAAACGCAAACGCCGGCGAAGGCGCTCCAAAACAGAGCATTTATTCTTTGTCTCCATTAAGAAAACCACACTAGGACGATGGGTTTTGCACAACCCTCGGAGGATCTGGATTGTTAGGGGTCGCCCCAGCCCTTGACAATTCCAGCTAATTATAAACATGGGGGTTGTGGCTGTATAGGACCAGCCACTAGTCCGGCTTGTGTGAATTCAGCATTTGTAACAATTGGGGACGTGCATGGATTACTCGAACCCAAATCAGCATCAACAGAACCAGGGGGATAGGCATGCATTCCCTGCATGAAGAGAGAAGGCCAAGTTTGCTACGCATTGTCAACATGTTGAATTTCCACGTCCACCAATTCAAGGCATAGCAGTGGTTGGTTACTCCTCAAGTGTGGAGATCCCTGACGTGTCTTTCTGGGGTGGGTAATTGTTTTGCTCTTGGGTTTACAGTGGGTTGGAGAGGACGAGAGTAATGGCATCTGGTATGGGATGGGGTTATGTTTTAGAAACTTTGGGGTGGGCATGAGGGGAGGAGGGAAGTCAGTAGCCTTTCTTTGAAGAGAGAGATTGTTGAACATGTTGGGCAACCCTGTATCAAGAATATTTGAGTCCAAGGCGAGGGATTTTAGGCTATAAAGGGGCTGGAATTATTAGGAGGGGAAGAACATTTGGACTGCATTGATGAGGGGCTATTGAGTGAGTCTGGGCTATCAGCAAGTTCAGTGACATAGTAGGCAGGCCCAGTAAGAGAGGGAACTTTTAGTGTTGGGAGAGAAGGGATTGACTGTTTAAGTTAGAAGGGTTGGGACCAAGTGGGGCTTGGAGTGGATTACCTGATGGGGAAGGTTGTGTAGGCCCAACAAGATGTGGATTAGTAGAGGGCTCGACTCCCTGATGGGCTAAGAGAGGTGTGGTATCCGGGCCCAGTTCCTTCCGAAAAGGTGTGACCTCGTGCTGAGGTGTATCTCTAGACAAAACTTCGGATATGGGGATTTCAGGAGAAGTTGGTACAAGGCCACGTGGCAACCTCGAATGGTGGACGAGTGGGTCTGGCTCTGCTCCAACAGAGCAGGAGGGTGGCCCTTGCACAACTCCCTCTAATGTACCCAATTGTCCTTGGGACGAATGTACACGAGCATCATACTCACGCGCCACTAGTACCTCCGGTTCCACCGTCACCGCCTGAGTTTTCCGGCCAAGAAGGGGTCGGATACTGGCCTCCATTTCATCGATTTGCTTTTGGAAAAAATCCACCGGTAGATTAAGCTTCGGAGCTACCCCAGTTCTCAAGTGAGGGCCATACCCAGAATTACGTCCTGCCTCTCTTCCAGTAAATTTACAAGATTTGTTATCATGCCCAATTCTGCCGCAGTCATAACAGAAATCCGAAAGTTTCTCATATTTGAAGTCGACCCATTTCTCCGTGATATTGAGAGTGTTTGGGTCCTTCATCTTCATCATGAAACCTCTGAGAATGGGTTTAGAAATATCCAGTTCCACTCTAATACACAAAAAACTCCTATGTAGCAGTAAACCAT